CCCCCCCCCCCAGCGCCGGAGACACGGACACAGCGCCCGAGAGGCGACACCGTCGCTCGGGTCTGGGTGGCGCCGGCACTTCCCAGGCGGCTGCCCGGCGAGTCCTGAGGAGGAGGAGAAGGGGGACTTTGCCGTGGTCTTCCACAGGCGCAGTGATCGCCCTCTTTATTTAAAAGAAAAAAAGAAAAGCAACACATCCTCAAAATAAAAGCCCACCCCCCAAAACAAATACCCTGCCGCCCCCCAGCAGCCTGGCTGCCGCCTCCGGAGCTGTCGGCGTTGCTTCCTGGGAAGGCTCCACTTCCACCGGAGTGTAATCTGCCACGAGCGTAAATGGAGCATCCAGCCTTCGGCGCCTTCCTTCCAAAGTGTTAAAGCACGGAAACTGCGGCCAAGGTAGTAAGGAGGAAATAAAATATCAGCGGTGGACTTCTGAGGGGCCAGAGGGGAGACAGCACACCAGCGGAATACGCTGTGTTAGTGTTCTTGAATGAACCACAATTTCACAAGTCTGTGAAATGGTTAATGCCCTGAACTTTATGAAGGTGATTTTGTTGTTGCTGGGGTTTTTTTTTTCCCTAATGATACTTTGATCTTTTGCTTTCAAATAGTGAATCAGCTGTGATTGAAGCAAAGCCACCTCCTGCGTAAAGGAGACCGGGGCTTTGCCTGTTCTTCAGATGAAGGCGTGGGATAGTTAACTCGGAGAGTCCTCTAGTGGAAATGCTGTTTGTACTGGTCAAACAGCTGTTTTCCTTCTCAAAACGATTTTCCAAGCAAGCAAGCTATCCGAGCAAAAGGTTTGCTTTGGGGCTTTTGTTGATCTATTTATGTCTGCCATTTGCCAACAGTAACCCACCAACTTTGAAAAATAAACCAAACCAAGGTGTCACAGCTATTCGATTTTTTTTTTTTTTTGGACTACCTGGAGTTGAGCAGTCATATCTCTATTTTGAAAATGGAAGAAAAAAAATCCTTAGTCTCCTGCTGTTACTTTGTGTACACCTACATCAAATTCTTTTTAGACAGCATGTATCACTTTCACAGGATCTTTATGGGGTGTTGTGGGTGTGTGTGTGTTGGTGAGTTTGAATCCATATAGCCCTGAGCCTTCTTTTGGTGTTTCACAATCTTCCAGAACACAAATAAATAATAGTTAACACTAGTTTAAGTAGCAGTAAAGTGGCAAAATGTATTCCCATCAGTCTAGATGTTTTCTCCAACACCAAGGAAATCCATCAAATGGTTTATCACTCTGTAATCTGAATTATTCGTGGATCCACTGTTAATTTTATCTGAGTGGAAGCTGTCAATATGGTTTCAAAATGGGACCTTAAATGTTCATGTGTTCTCAATTCCTCTGCTTAAAATGGAGAACATTATGTAAGAGATGTCTACAAGCATAATCAAAGCTTGACTTTGATCTCCCTGTCGTGTCATTAGACAATGTCAGGCCCTTGAGTTGTTGGATTGGCTGATAAAAGAACTGTGATTTCAGGCTTTGTGTCGTTTATTGTTGTTATTTTTTCCTAGAACAGCTTACTGAGGACAAAAGATTAGGTACATTTTCAGTGCTTGAAGAAAATCTCAAAAATACTATTTTTACATCTTGCCTAGATCTGTTGTAGTTGATCACTTGGTGCTAATGCTGTTATTTTAGAAGTCTTACTTTGAGTTGGTTTGTATTTTCTTATATTACAAGACTGTTTAAACACTTGAATTTCTTAATAGATGCTTCCCACTTCTGGGCAGATGGCAGTTTTTGGAGAGGATATCAGCTTTGCTCGGTGCATTAGCTAATAAGGTTGTAAATGATTTGAAAACGCAACATATTGTATAATCATTGTTTCTGGCATTTTGTTTTTGAAACACAGTCAACTTCTGCTGTCCTAGAGCTGTAAATCCTGAGCCTTTTTTTTTTCCTTCACTTTTTTTATCCAGATGGCACGACATTGCACTCTTATCTTCTACTAAACTACCCTCAGCTTAATAAAATGTTGCAATTATGCTGTCCACTACACCTAGATTTGAAGAACTGACAGGCTCCTACAGGTAATTTAATTTAATTTTATTCCAGGTTTAAATGAGATGTTTATTGCATCTAAAATTTTACTTATTTTAGAATTTTTTGTTATCTCTTGGTATCAGATCTTTGACGAGCAGGCTATGAAGTGAACTGATCTGTTTGAGAAAGAGAAAGGTTAAAAAAGTTTTTTTCAAGTATTTCCATTCTGTTTTCAAAGTAAGTCCTACCATATCCAGTGGGATTTTCCCATTCTTGCATTCCTTTCTTTATATGATGAGCTCTGACAAATCACAAATCTCTGTCACACGGCCTAAAAGAATTTTTTAAGAGGTGGGATAATAGTGATTTCCTTCCTTTATTGGTAATTAAATTCTGTGAGAAAGAAGGAAGAGCTCCCTCCTGCTGGGAATAGCCATGACGTGTATTTACCTTTCTGGGTTGGGTTTTTGTTTGTTGGTTTGTTGGGTTTTTTTTAAGTTAATGCAGTTTATTAGCAACCAGGATCAATAGCAGCCAATGTTAAGCAGGAGCTGCTGAAGTCTAGTGTAAGCTATCTTAAGGAAGGCATACTTAATTTGCAGAGTGATTAATTTCTTAGTGAAATGTATCAGGTTCTCAAGTTCTGGTTTAGCTTGTGTCATTATCCCATCACCTCAGCCACAGTGGATCTGCTCCTGTTCTATACAGTTATGGCCATGGTGATCATCTGGATTCACACGTGGTGGAATGTTCCATTCCACCTCAGCGTCCAGTTCTGCCACAAATTTATAGTGCCAGTGGAGAACACTGGTCTGCTAAGGGATCTCATGTTGGTATTTTGGCTGCTGCAGCCTAGCAGAGTGGTGTTACCTTATTATTGAATTGGGTTTTTTACTAAAAGTTATGAACACCCAGAGTGTTGGTTTCCAAAGTTAATTCTCCCTTCATTATTTCATTGTGCTGTTGTCTCTGACAGTAACTTTGAAGCCAGTATTTATTTAAGCATGTGTATCTGCACATTTCCAGCAGATGGCAAGATATTCCTAGGCAACTCTGGGAAGTACAGTTGTATATACAGAGCTTGTAAGTGCTAGTTCTTTATTTTAATGCTACAGGCTGTTGAGAACTGTTCTTCAAAAATTAGTTTAAAGAGAAAAAAATGAATTGGGGTTAATGATAGCATAAACTAGCTAAAGTACTGCTTCAGGCATCAGATATTTGTATTAATGTTTATTAATCTCACTCCAGTACGAGGTTTTTCTAGCTGTATTTTCCTTTTTAAAATTCTAAAAACCATTTGCTACATAATGGGTTTAGAAACTGTTAGGCTATGCAGTACAACTGGTTTAGTGCCTCTAAAAAGAATGTAGTAAGCTTCCTTATCTCCTTTTTCACTTGGTGTCTTGATAGAAACAGGCAGTGGTTGCATAGGAAAACTCTGTTGGAGGGATATACATTCCTTGCTGTCTTGGGCCACTATTCAGAAAAGAATTTGTCTTGCATGCTTAAACTGAAGCACCTAAATACCTCACTGAATCCACAGAATGTAACCAAAATAATTTATTCCAGGCTTCACATGAAAAAAGCAGTGTCTTTTATCCTTTTCAGTGAAAGGAATAATATTCCAAAATCAGTCAGAGCATTTTTCTATATGTACCACTCAAAAGAAACAGCTATTTGTCAGATATAATTCTATACACTACAGCTAGGAGGAACTGAGAATATTTCTGGACTGAAAAGTTATCTAGTTTGGTGAATACCATAAAAAATAGTTTGATATCGCAGGTGTAGTACTTGTAAGTAGTATTTAGGCACAAATATCTACAAAACCAGGAGAAGAAACTGACAATGTACAATTATTTTCTGTTAGTTTTTAGGTCAGAGAGAACCATTTTCTCTTCAAGCTGAACTTCAGCATAACCAAGAGACAGAACCAAAGTTTATCTTGTCATCTTTACTCATCCTGCTTCAAATCTGTAAGTAATGCCTGTTTTTGGAAGGTAGCTACTGCACCTGAAATTGATTGTGTGTATTGAATTTTATTATATTTTAACTCTTGTACCTATTGCTTCCGCTGTGCATTTGCCTCTTTATGATCTACTGATAGATACATTTGTCTAATTGAAAAGCATTTTAACTTTTCCAAATAGCTCCAACCTCCCTTTGCAAATAATCTCAGCGGTTCTTTTTTCACATTTTGATGTACAGATCTCTTTGAGTGCTTGTGCTTTATATTAACCTATTGTTATTCTGCCAGCAACAGCTGCTGCAGAAAGAAAGAAAAAAAGGAGTATCCTAATGCTTACCCATTCATACTATGTGCTTCCACTTGTACAAGTTGGTATTGTAAAGATAAGTACAGATCCAAAAAAAAGTGAGTCTGTGAATCCAGGCTACAAATAATGGGAGAGAGATTTAAAGATGGTGCTGGGTGGTTTGGTTGCATAAAAGAAAGCTTAGCCAATTTATAGCAGTTAAAAGTATGTTTACAATGCAGTAAGCCATGTTTTGTATTTCAGCATATGAAGTTCATGGAGTTGGGTTAGTAAAAAAATATGGTGGCTTATTCCTGGGAACAGTACTTTTGGTTAAAAAAAGTTAAGTCACAGGTGGGGCAGCTCTTAAAAAAGTTATGAAGCACTTATGCAACATTGGCATTGGAATATTTACGATATTAAAATATTCATTTAATGGAGAAGGGGTTATAAAATCAGATGAAAAATGGTCTGGAACAAGATATCATGTAAAAAGTAATTGAGAATCATCACAGGTTTATTGACGAGCAAGGTTTATTTTTTTGTGTAGCTCAGATCACAAAATTGTTTTTGACTGAGACTCTTGAATCCCAAGGTTGAAGGAACCAAAGGATCTTGACTGAAAGGGATGCTCATGCTCACTAAGGAACCATACGGCAATAAAAGGGAATTTTTCAAGGAAACTTAATGATACATGTAAAAATCTGCTAGAATGTCTCGTTAATTCAAAGTGAGTTTGCTGATGTACCATCAGGTGATCAGTGTTTGGCTAAAACAGGCACGTTCACAGATTGCTCGTTTTGATATTTTTATGTTGAAGTGCTTTGTCTTCACCTTTAAGACTTAATTATAGATTAGTTTAGAAAGTCTGTCCGATAACTGTTACCACGTATCCCGGATCCTACAGGGAAAAGCTCTGCTCTTTAACCCAGTGAGGACAACTGAGTTTCGTGTTTAAGGCGCTCAGCGCTCGTTCCAGGAGTAGGACAATTTGCAGATCAGGGAGAGAAATGCTCCGGGTCTGCTGGTTAAGACGTGGGTGGGAGGCAAAGGCACTGTTGGACTGAAAGCATTTACACAAATTATCAGTCATAGCTAGGAGGCTCCCAGCTCACTGTCACTGCCGGTTGATCTGTCTCCTCTCCAGAGCACTATCTCTGGCTTACAAAAGACTTTGGAAGAAATATATCTCTTCAGAAAAAAAAATCAAAGGATACACATTTGTTACGGTTCATTTTATTTCACAAGTGAGGAATTCAACTGAGATGAAGACTCTGTCCTTGGAAGCTGTTGCTGCTATATTGATCTTTACATCTCCCCTTTCCACTACCATAAGAAACAGGGAGACAAAGCTCTCTGGTTTAATTTTGATAGTTCAGTGAACGCATAAAGTTATGTAATTAATTAGCAAGTGGCTTAGCTTGGAGCTTCATTGCTTTAATGCCTAGAACTATTGGGACTGAGTTCCTCCTAAAGGTTGTTGAAGAATCATTGCACTGTAAGGGCACCTCACAGAACAGATCAGGTACTAACTTATTCTTACAGATTTAGACAGCAAGATAGAGAGTGGTAAGTTTTTAAACCCAATGACTGGGTGGCAGGACTTGTACTTTTTTCTACCTTTGCTTTGCTGGAATTATTAATTTTTTTTACTACTCTATCCACAAAGTACTTATATGTTTCTGAAAAGGTTGATCACAGTAAATCCTTCTCCTTTTCTCCCTCCTAAACGCTTCATTTAAGATGTCATTATGACAACTAGTTCTCAAAGACAATTGTTGGAAAAAAGAGGCAATCAGTACTAGGTTTACCTCAGTAGAAGACGACAGGTATCCTGTTATTACTTGAATTAATGACTTAAGATCTTCGGCTATATTAGGACCTGTCAACTTCCCAAGGTTTTAAAGCTTTAGTAGGGATTAGTGATGATTTGAGACTATGAACTAAACAGCAGATAAATAGCAAGAGATGGTTACTGTCTTCAAATAGATGTGAAATGTGAGTAACCACTTCTGTGTCGCTCTAGAATGAAAACGCACCCCCACAGAATGTCCTCTTTAGCAGATCAAACCAGCAATGAGTGCAGATGTGCAGGCTGCTCCTCAGCTGACTTGATCTTTTTATTTCCCAGCAAAAGACCAGCTATTGTTTCTATTGAAGTCAATGGCAGTGAAATCATTGAATCCAGGGGGGAAAGAATTTGGGCCAAATGCTACTAAGTTTGGATAAAAACTATAAGGCAGAGCATTAATATATTTGAACATAAACTGGGGTAAAGCATATATCCTACATAACATCAGAAATCACCATGGTAATTCTTTGCAGATTTTCTTGCTGGATTGAATATTAGTGTTTTTCTAGCCCATGTTAAAATAGACAAAATGAATAATGTTTCAAGACTATTTTAAGTCAACACCTCCCTTTCTTATATAAGATAGAAGCACCCAGAAGCTAACTCACTTTTGTTGACACCACATGAGCCACCAGGATAAAGAGTTCTATGGGTAGCCCAAGCTACCTATGTTTATAAAAGCAAACCCTTATGCTTCTGTATTTATTTTTTTCAGGATATTTAAACAACCTATCTCTGTAGAGACACAGTTTTTGCCTGCTTTCCTTTTCTTTGTGTTCACCAGCACACAATACACCGTAAATCATAGGGGCTCCTTGCTTCTTGCTGCATGACCTGTTCCTAATCCTTTAGAAAACAACAATCCCACTTCTGAAAGATAACTGTGAAAGAAACTATGGAAGAAAGAAAATGGATGCTTCTACCATTGAAGACAGGCATTTGTCACTTCAGAGGATGGAAGAAAATGGTGAAAAATTTAAACAAAAAGACTTAACCCTGAGGATCAAGTTTTCACCTTGGTTCCTCAAGAATCCTCTTTTTATTGCTTTCCCTGGGCCAGACTTAATTGTGCTGTCCTAAATTCTCATTATTGGTCCAGCCAGCATTCAATTTGATTGAAAGACAGGCATTCTTAGCTCAAAATACTCCAAATCCAAGAAGTGCCTGATGGATCCTTCAATAAGTATGCACAGAAACACCACTGTAGGCAATAGGGAAATAATCACAGCTGGCACATTAAATGTTTCTTCTTTATAAAGTACAGGTTCAATTTTAAAATACTATATGCACTATAGTTTATAAACAATATCTAGAATCCTTCTGTCTTTTATATATCTATCTATCTATCTATCTATCTATATATCTATATATATATATCTCTCTATATATATATCCCATAGGAGCTTGTATATATAGAAGTTGCACACACAACCTGGAAGGATGAGGGTGGGATAATCTTAAATATATCTGTAATTACATGGTAAGTTTAAGTCGTACAGAAATAGATCTTTTGTGTTTGTCTGACTCTGAAAGAAATGTAGCAATAAAGGAAGAACGGTCTGGATGGACTGTTACACCAGATGTTTTACAGATTACTCTGTATTTCATCACTCAGTATTTAGTCTTAAAACTGTAGTAATTCTTATACTGAAATAGCTGAATAGCCCACATATTATTTTGCTACTTCCAGCTGTGCCTGTTCCACATACTTACCCCTTAAAGCTGGCCAATTATTTATTACTATGTAAAGAAAAATGTCCTCCTTACCCCATCTGGTAAGCCAGTGCATGAAAATGGATAGCTCTGTGATATTTGTGCTAGCACAGGGAATTCCCCGTGCTGCTCTTGTTCAGATTACTCACCCAATAAGCAACTGATGCAAACCTGTATTTGTTAGTAACTTTTGTAATAATAATTGTATTATGTACTGTTAGTTACTTGGTAGGAGCCTGATCCCACCAGCGCTTTAAGTGCCAGGCTTTCCGCTGAAGATGTGAACATGAACATTTGAGCTTGTGACTTTCTAGTCTTGAAAGACTGGGTTTCCTTACCTTTATTTCTTCTTATTATATCAAGCAGCTGAAAAAACCCCAATGCACACACCACTCCCATCTCTTTGCAATAAAGTAAACTGAGCCAACAAATTCTGGAATGTAACTGCAGAGTTAACTTCCTATTCAATAAAATACTACATCCTAAAGCAAAGGAGACATAGAAGGCAATGTTTTGTTTATTGAAGGTTCCAAGGAGCACAAACCATATGAGGAATCTTATTACCTTAACAAGAAGATAATTATTCTCCATTGGTTAATATTTTATGGTTACTACAGGAATATAAAAACTGTTTAAAAGCAATCACGAAATAAAGAATGTCCGGTCAGTTTATATCCCCTGTCCCTTAGGGCATCTGTAGGATGCTTTCAGAAATCATCTTCCTGTCAGGTGAAATCTGGACTAGTTGTAGGGTTAATTATTGTTGAACAACTTAGTTTCAAGGCCTGAAAAACACTTGTTACCTATTCCAAATATTCTTTATCTTTCTGAGTACCTTTCTCCTTACTATCTTAAAGTATTCCAATTAGTATTTAAACAGTTCTGAAAAGATAAGTTAAAATATTTTTGGCAAATCCCCTCATGAAAATTTCACAGGTTTTGTCTACACAAAGGAGTTCTACCATTAGTTTGGGTGCTCTTTTCTGTGTGAGCTGAAATGGCAGTACTGACAAAAGGAGCTTGTGAAACTAATTTGGTTAAATCAGTATAACTTTTTGTATAGATGAGACCTACAAGTCGAAAAGCACTTTACTTTGGTTTGTAATATTGTCTCTTTGCCCCACCTGAGAGCACGAAGCACAGTGCTCATCAGTGCTGAGTGAGTGCATGTACTCAGCAGCTCCATGACAGACCTTATACCAAAAGGTGGAGATCGGACACTGGGCTAGAGGGATCCTTCGTTCAGTGGAATTACTCCTGTGCATTGGCTGGTCCTAAATCTGGAGCGATCCAGAGTTAATCTAGAGTTTTCAGATACCTCAGACACGTGGGATATTTGGATTCCTTTTTTTGGACCAATCTTTTTGTGGAACAGCGAATTCCCAATATTATCTGACTAGTTCTGTTGGTGCTATGTTTTCTGACAGCCTGGGCTTGACTGTCTTCTCGGATCTGTTTTTACTGTGCAGGATTTAGTAAAAGGAATAGCTGTGACATAAAGCTGGTATAAGGAGAGAACAGATCCCTAATGAATTATGTAATGACGGGCTTAGATCCTCAAACTCATTTAAGTCACAAGCTATAAAGGCAGAAAGAGACAGTGTCTTTCTCATTTCAGCTACCAAATCCATCCAAATAGACGTGTTCATTGCCAAATTTTTATTCAGTTTTCATGAAGAAGAAATAGCTATATGTGTTTGTAACATATATTGCACGCAGTATTATCGTAACATCAAACAAGCTTTCAACCGTTGCAAGTGTTTTAAACCGCTGTAATAAAGAGGGCATGAGGGAGTTGCTTCAGATTATTTTTTTTTTAAAAGGAAAATATTCTCAGCAGCTTTCAATAAGCGTTTTGTTATCTCTTCTGCTCCACAGACAAATATGCAGGGGTGCTGTTTTCCTCGTAATGTGAAGTGCTTTCTTAGGTTAATGACTCTGAGTATTTAAAATCAGAGCAATCGTTTTAAGTGTTTTGTTGTACCAACAGTAGAAGCCTCATTGAGTTAAATTGGTTTCGCTACATTATCTATTGGGATTAGCAAACCGGTTAAGAACTGATGTGAGAGCTTTTACTTTAACTTGGATAAATCCTTTTATTCTCACCCAGAATCAGGCCAGACATTTCTGTATATTAAACTCTTAATAGTGCTGTCACTGCCAGCGTTACTTTCAAACAAATCATGCAGCATCTTGCTGCTCTTCATCTTGTGCTTTCTGATTCTTGCAAACCTCTTGAGGCAGCAGCAGCTATTTTTTAACATAAATAGAGTAGTCTGCATAAGTGCCCCACAGAAAGCACTCATGAATGCAGAATGGTACTCTCTCTTCTGTTGTCAAGGCCAAAGTAGAGTTTTGCAAGCCCTTGGGCACCGAATAGGCAGTATTTAATTATGGGATGAAATCTCTGAGGTTACTTTGATTTTCCTTCTAATGCATTTGATCTTCCAGTTCAATAGTTGGAATGTCTATTTTGTCCATTTATAGAAGCTCCAATTTCTGTATATCTACATTTTATTAACACTTCACATTTAGAATGATTACATTAACACATATCCCACTCCTTTTCTCACAGACACCCCAGTCCATAGAGCAGTGCTCTAAATTGCTGAAAGGAACACAAATGGTTTCAGGTACAGCACAGAAAAAGTGCCTTCTGATCTGTCACATACTTTTCTTTTTTTCCCCCCTGTCGCCTTGACACTAATACAATCCATCCAAAGTCAGCATTCAACTGACATAAAATTTAGTTTATTTCTGTTTATTAAGGGCATCATGAAATTAGAGTTGAACAGGGCGCTGTCTTTAGATGTTCGTATGTCTAAAGTACTAATGTCTGATTATTTTTGAGTATGATGATTTTAAACGAAGGAAAAAAAAAAAAGCACATGCAAAAGTACAGAAGATTTAAATTTATGCAAAACTCCAATCATTACACCCTATTCCTGTACTGAAGTTTCTCCTTAAGAGAGTTTGAATGGCATCTGACTTTTCTATTTCTGGCTCTGGAAACAGATTCAAGAAAATCCCACTCTTCATGATGGAGGTGTTTTGTCTTGTGCTACTCATGCGGGTGCAGTAACAGTAGCTGAAACACCTGCTCTCCCCGCTGAGTCACCTTGTGCTGGAATGGACACAACTGCCATATGTGAGCTCACAATGCACACTTCTGACTGCCTCCAAGGTTTTGAGATTATTTTTTTTCCCCCCCTTTATTTATGCTTCTGTCTGCAACACTGTGATAGTCTAGCATTCTGGCTTTGTTTGGGGTTTTTTTTTGAGGAAAAGATTGCTGCCACCTTTTCCTTTGATCAATCACAAATGAGCCGTGCGCCTTGAAGATCTGCAGTCAAACTACAGAAAAAATTAATTGAATAAACCTTTTGAAGAAGTCAGCAGGGCGTGCAGCCTATGACTGTCTCCCAGATGGAGAAGCAACTAATTTTGTCCAATAACCCCATGTGATTGCTCAGTTGGCTTCAGTGTAAGGAGTTATGTCAGGTGCACAATTACAAACTATTACTGCTGAAGTAATTAGATTAGACATTGCCTTTATAATATCTGCAGCCACCTTCTTGCTAATTACTCTAAATAACCAGCCACTGAACACTAGAGAGACTAGGTTGATGCTTTGTTCTCTGCTCTTTAATAACTTGAATTCCAAAATCATGGATTATTTTCTTATGATTTACACTCCACAGGAACTTGCTGCAAGTATTTCTTCAGCTGGATCTAGTCAAAAATTTCACTTCTAGCAGTAGATACTGACCCTGACAGGCAATGTCATCAACTAATAGCTAGAGAAACCAGCAGGATACAAAAAGTTAGATTCTCCTTTCACAGCAGTAGTTAATCTACTGATTTTAAACCAAAGATTATTTCTGATCTATGCAAGTGTGACAAAGAAGGGTGTAAGGCACTATGGCCTCTTAAAGGGTGTAGTACTGTTGTGGTGATACTGTTAAAAGTGCTGAGCAGAATATTTCAGACTTGCCTACCATCTCCCCTTGCCTATGAAAGTGCATCATCCAAGAGTCACATTTAAAATTTCAATGCTTCTGAGGCCCGCTAAGAATTACATCAGGTGTCAATTGAAAGAGCTCTGTTTTAAGCTGAAAGGAGAGGTAGAAAGAGGAGTTAAGATATGTCAAGGACCTGACCCAGGATCGTGGAAAAAGCAACAACTTAGTAAAGAAAAGGCATTATAAAGTCATGCTTCTGCTGTTTTCATTCTACTCTGCACTTAAACATTATATAAAATAGAATTATTCAGAAGAGAGCAGGAGGGGTTGAACTTCCTTGGGAAGAAACTAATTATGACCAAAAATGCACTTAGGGGGAAAAAAAAAAAAAAAAGTGTATTTCTGTAATGTAGCATTTCGTTGACATCAGGAACAAATACCAAGTAAAATAAAATAGAAAGAGAAGCAGGAGGGAAAAGAGACCCCTGATTACCTGCATATATTGAAGGAGATGCAGAATTTCATTAGTTTTCTAGATAAGGTGAAAGTTGAGCAAAGTTGAGCGATACTTTGCTTGAAATTCAGTATGTGAGCATCTCGGAAACTATGGTACATAGTCCTAGCTGGATGCACTTACCTAGTTGGATGATAAAGAGTTTCTGTCTCTCCTGAAGGGTGTTTCTTCTGTAAAACTCAAAAGATACAGGAGATAAATCAGTGTCATTGTACCAATTGTGCAGCTGATGCAGTGACAGAACTTATCTACGATTCCCCAACAAGTCAGTGGCAAGATCTTGGAGCAGAATCCAGGTGTCTCAGGCCACAGCTGGACTGGTGAGACTGTGGAACAATCACAGCTTGAGGGCAGCTTGTGCTTTCCAGCACACTGTTGGCAGTTTTTCCATTATAACAGAAACTAAAGATTGAAGCCTGACTTACGATGGGAGCATATTTTCTATTATAGCTCAGTTTGGGATCATTATTTTTTTTCTTCAAAACATTCTCTTACTTCAGTGATATTGAACAAATCTTATTGTAAGTTATAAATCAGTGTTAAAATGCTCAGTCTTTCAGTGCTGGTCAAATCAAACTATATGTCACAGATAAGGCAGGAGGAATGTGCACCCACTCCATGTGATCAAATGCTTGTTTCATCCTTATTGCAATTGCAACTATTAATCCATCAGCCACTACGTTCAAGATCCCCATCTTCAAAGCCCAGCACAGCTCTTCCTCTTATCTACATCTTTTAGCTTTTTTAATCTTACACCTCCCCAGTGCATCGCAGCTTTCAACCACTTGCTTTGCTTCCATCTTTCCCTCCCTCTCTCATTTCATATTTTCTTTTGTGTCAGTCTCTATATTTAAAACAACCTCTCACTTTCAAGGCAACTAAATCCACAAAAAAAAAAAAAAAAAAAAAAAAAAAAAAAACCATTTTGAAGTGTCTTACTTTGCTTTCCTACACTATTTCAGTTGTTTTGATCCATATCCCAATATAATGTGGAGGTTTTTTAGAGATTAATTGTAAAACTTGTGGTGAATACTGTGTTCATGAGTTCATGGAATTATTTACAGAACAGAGTGTTATTTTGCATGAGTTGGGTGAGAGGATCTAGTCCTGAATTAAGGACTGTGTATGAGTACTCACAGATTTCATTGTCAGATAATGGAAGTGAAGAGGCCTAATGTATTAGGTCAGCCTCTGAATAAAAATGGCAAAAATATCCAAAGCAACGGAGTAACTCGAAGCCAGTTATGACATTTTTTTTACTTCACTCAGCTATTTAGGGACAGATGCAAAAAGGATATTTTCAGAGGCACACATGGTAGACTTTCACTGGAAATTAACAGAATGAATTCTAAAGTCCTTCCTGAAAATGGAGTCTGAGTTCTTTCACTGTCAAGCCCTTTTACAATTATTCCCAATCTAACACAGGAAGCCTGAGCTATCCCTGTGTTTCTAAATCACTTTTATCTATTTTGGAGTTTAATAAACTAATAAACATTACAGTGTTTAAGTGTTTAAAATTCCAATAGCTTAGATCTGAAATGTAACACAATCATTATTAACAATCCAGTAGAATTTTATGTAGTATATTTTATTTCATGCTGTGACTAAGAGCATTGAAATGTTTTCAATACTTTATCCAAGACAAATAATAATTTAAGAAAAGGCCTCCACTCCCCTCTATTCCCATTACTTAGCTCATGAGATTTTTGTGATTAAAAACTCCGACTTTACCACTACTGTTAAACCTGGACCATCCTACAGAAGGCCAGATGCAGAAAATCACTTGTGTGGAAGTGAGGAATTAGCTCTTCCATTACAAAAAAGGAAATGATCTAGTGTGAAAAGCCAAATCTTCATTACCAATCAACCCTTAAAGTGGAGGAAAACCATGGTAATTTAAGATTTACTTTTGCTGCAAATATGTACATATGAAAAATTGTCTCATGGGAATACAGGAAATAAGGAGCTGGGATCAAATCAGATCGGTAATAAATCGTTGCTTTTAGTAGGAATTCATAGCAGAACCTCCTTGACTTTAGAAGTGTCTCAAGCTCATTGGAAAATATTTTGAAAAGAGACGGATCAATACAGTTTCAGCAAGGCTTTTTTAGTCCGTAGGTATTGTTCAATTTGTAGCTCTTCTGATGATTTTTTTTTTTTAATTTTTTTGTTTACATTGTGTATGCAACCCAGTATATAACATTGACTGCTGCAAAGGCTGCTGGGAACACGGCTCTGGCATATATATCAATGGTATCAGCATCAATGGGCTTAAAGAGGGACTTCAGACCACTCTTTTTATCCAGTTTCATTATGTGCTGCCGTTTTGTCTCTCCAGTTTCTATTTCTATTGTGCCATACGATCCAGGCAGGCTTCTGGGAATTCGGTGCTGCCTATTGGAAATGGCCAGTTCCTGGTTCACACCAGCTATGGAAAGGGAAAACAGAACAATGGCATTCTTCACGTTTATCTGCAAAGGAAAGAGGAGAACCTATAAGAGCAATTTATAGGGCAAAGGTGTAGTGTACTTCATCCAAGCTAGCCATGATACCGACAGGGTGAAATACCTGTGAGATCCGTAAGGGCTGAATGGTATTTATCACTTAAAGACTCTACCACCACGTCTAAATTCTGGTTATAGTTTTACATGCTCCGAATTACCAAGGCACAACTGGGACAGCATGCTTAGGCTCCCTGACTGAAAATAATTGACTGACTTTAGGGAGACAGTTATCCCATTGTGTGGCCAAAGCCAATAAGCAGTTCTCAGACTCTTGTCAAACTTGAGAGAACATGGAGGTGGGACAGAAAATTAATATGGATCAGTTGTAACTGCTACAGCATAATAAAATGAAGTAATAACAATCATAAAGAATACCCAAGGTGCCAGAGAGTTCAAAAATATGTAGGCCTGGACTAAAAATTGTGAATTGTCAAGAAAAAAGTTCCTTAATCAATACACTCTGCTTCATCACTAACATGCAGGTACATACATGAGGAAAGCAGGAAAGCCATCTGGAGTTCCTGGAAGAAATTTCATCCCCAGACTCCCTTGCTCAGTTTCAATGGGCTTCCTATCGACATAACTTATATCCCTGCTAATTATCCCTGTATTTATCTTAGGCAGTTTAGGTGTAAAAAAAATGTAATCCCCGGGGCACAACGTTCAAGACTACAGGCCTAGTTTTTGATTTTATTATGCTGTAGCAGAGCTAAGAGAGTCTTAGCAGAAGCAGCTGCTAAAGAACAGCTTCTGAGGAAAGGCCTTTCTTCCCCATCTCATGTAATACGGACCCTACGGGAGCAACTCAAGGTTACTGTAACTTACACTGAGGCCTGGACAAATATCAAAGGGTCTAAATATATTCTCAAAGTTTAAAGTGTACAAATCCAGCTCAAGACATGCTTTTCCTCTCTTCTTATTCCTTCTCCGTTATTCTCCATTTCCCATCTTAAATACAGCCACAAACCATGTAAGAATATGTTGTCTTTAGTGTTAACCATGCTGCGAGGGGAAATTAGCAGTTGCATTTGTTTGCTTGTCATATTAACATGGAATTAACCAGGAAATTTTTTAATTTTTCTTTTTTCCAACAGGGGTAGAAGAATTTGCTTCCATAGTAAAAGGAGGTCATAATGCAGGGTGATGGCTTTTGCAAAGTTATTCACTGTATTACACTTACTGACCTCTCCGCTCTGCCTTCTCGCTTTTATCTTGTTCTTTTGCTTTTTCATGTAGTCAGCATTGAAATGTGCAAATGCATACTCTACCAGTGCAGCGAAGACAAACACGTAGCAAATCCAGAAGTAAACATCAAGTGCCTTGATGGCAGATGCTCGCGGAAGCGAAGATCGGGCACTGACCATCAGCGTGGTCATAGTAAGAACAGTAGTGATACCTGCAGTGTAGTGTGAGAAAATTTACTTTAGGTTTCAAAGCCTACACTATAATAACTGTATTTACTGAAGCTGAGGAATATTTTCACAGCCCCTTAATAGTGTGGCTTCTAATTTTCCAAAGAGGGGAGCTTGTGAAAGACGGTGCATTTGTATGACTAAGGCAGCCTTGAACACATTCTCCTCCCTTTTGTTCTAGGTCAGGACAAACAAAACCAGAAGACTTAACCCTCAAGAACTTTTGTGTCTGGACTTGCAGCCCTTACTCAGGCAAACAGATCCACAAGCTCTAGGAACGTTTTTTGGTTACTGTCCCAGTTCCTTCAGATCAATTCTGTCATACATCTGCCTCACATTCACTATTGCTTTTAGCCATCTTTAGACTGTTATTTTCTGTTCTTTACTAAGGCAGCTGCTCTGATAGCATGGCAAATTAAAACATGAGGGAAATCTTTTAAAGGACTGTCTCTTCTGCAGATGTAAACATAGGATTCATAAATGCACCTTCATGGAAAAGGAGGATTATTAGAGAGCATAATTACAACTCCAGCATACCCTTCCCCGTTAGTTCCCCAAACGATCCGTTTTACCTAATGACACTCTGGCAGGCACGGCTGACTGACTGATCCAGAAGGATACCCAAGACATGGCCACTAGTAAGATAGAAGGAACGTAAGACTGAATGATGTAAACTCCTCGATTTCGCCGAAGGTGGAAGTGGAGACTGAGCCTGGGAAACTGACCTGCTGGAAAAAAGAGCAGGCAAAGAAAGATTCTGCCTGAGTGAATTACAATTAAACTGATATTCAAAATATCATTTTCTATAATGACACAGATCTACATTCTTAAATATCTTTCGGAAAGGATCACAAAAAGCTTTTTTGAATGTCGTTCAATTAGTCTTCATAAACCCCGCACGAGGTACTGCAGTTCTCATCAGCACTGTTAGCTAAGAATAGGTCAAGTGATTTGTCTCAGGTCATATCAATGCCAGATCTGAAAATAAAATCATGAGTCTTCTCGAATAACAGTATTGCTTCAAAATGTGTACTGTCTTATCATCTGCTGTAGAAAGTCCTCCAGATACTAAATTTAGATTTTTTAAAAGGCCAAGTTAATTTCAAACTCAAAAAAGAGCTTAGAGGAGATGTGCAGCATAAATGAGAATCTGAATACATGAAAGAGGATGAAAAATCAGCAGGAAAGAAATTACTCCAATCTTTTACAAACATTGCAATAAACCCAGTGATACGCACACACACCACTGACTTCTACTGGGTAGAATTAGAATGATCTGACTGTACGTCATAAGTCTCATAACATCAGGGCTAATGGAAATTTTCCTTTATCTGAAGTTGTAAATTAGGTCAAGAAAGTGTGAGCTATACCTCAAGTGGTTTTTATCAGGTGTTGTCAAACATACAGAGCTAAAGGGCATGATATGCCACAGTGGCTCCCTGAAGGCTCAGCACAGGTTGGCATTTTCTACAAGTGTAGGCTAAAGAAAACTCTTATCAGAAACCTGACAGGTTTTAAATTAGTTCTTAAGAAGACGGATTTTCTATTATAGATATAAGGAGGTTTCCCTATGCAGGGAAGGCAGATACTGTCCCTGAATTGAAAACAGATCCTGTTACCAGATTTGAAATTCATCATTTCTGTTGTGAACTGGTAATTGGTAATTGTGAATTGAGCAAGCTGCAGCTTATCCAGCCCATGGATCTCCTCCTGGTTTTCTGACCAATGGTAGACGATGTCCTCTGAAGAGTAGCCATCTGCCAAAAGAAAGCTGAATAAACACAAAGTTTGAGGAAGAAATTTAGAACTTAGAGGACTCATAGTGAAAGTCCTCTAATTCCTCTGCTATGCTGATTTTCATCGGTCCCATCGCAAACATGCTGTGATTCAGTCTGGATAATTCCCTGTCCTGGCAACATCCATGCTGCCAGTGTCACACTGGGGTAGCTTTCCTACAGGGAGAATAATCCAAGTTGATTCACGCTGACTAGCAATATGTGCTATGGCACAACGCACTTCGGTGTCTTGAGAAATATTCAAATTATCTCTCCAAAAACTCATTTGCATACTCACTTAAAGTAGAGTAACTGTTACTGTAGCGCTCAAATTAGCCTGCTTACCCTGCACCGTGCTTGGATCTCAGAGTCACAGAAATTCCTGATTGTAAAAGAAAATAGCTACCAAATCTAATCTATCTACGCCTAGATAGATCCGAGTGTAATTGTGTACTGCAAGTCTCTCCCCAAATTTAGACATTGATTTTATGAGATAGGTATTCTGTACCTGCCAGGGAAACAGATTTCCTTTGTCAGGAATTTCCCCAGTGTCCTCAAAAACGATGTGTTCAGTTGGCTCTATACCTCCCCGTGCAAGCCCTACAGTACTTTTACAAAGGGACACTGCATGAAAGTAAAGCATACGGCTGAATTGTTTGTATGAATCCCCACTCTTGGAAACAACTGTTAGTGCCTTCCCCAGGCTTGAAGTAGTTTAATAAGAAAATAATGTCTATGCAGGCTGCCTACGCATTGTTTTTCTGTCAGTTCTCCTAACAGCTCTTGAACTTAACATTTTGAAACCAAAATGACAAAAAGGTAAAGATTTAAAATTCTTGATTCTTGAAATTCTAGATTCTTGAAAGTTTTGTAAGAAATGGGTGTGTAGAGAACAGAAAATCAACTTTGTGCATCCAGTTAGAGATCCAGCAGTATAACTCAGACCTGTGTCCATTCTGATTGTCACCAGCTAGCGTGACAATCACCGTGTATATCAGCCTGCTGATGCCTGCACTTTGGCGTGGGGGGCAGGAGGAAGATAACTGCTAGGGAGAGGTGCAGGGCACCAGGGACACGAGAGAAGGGGGGAGATATGTACGAGGGGATTTATGTAATATGCAAATCCATAGGAAATCAATCTTTGCTAGTTTTGCTGTTAATGGACAATTTGCTACTAAACCACTCATTTGTTTAAAGAGGCTTTATTTCTACCTGTTTCACTGAAATCAAAACCCTCAAATTCAATTAAAAAATGCAACCACCACCAAAACTCCCTGCAGGACTTGCTGGGAAAGAGAACTGATTGCTGGTTCACTGTCTGCTGCCTCTGCATTTGGTGATTACATAAGTAAAACTGTAGATTGCTATTTTTGACAGGATAAAATGGTATTGTGGTTAATTGCCTAGAAAACAAAGTCAGTGCTAAAAAAGAAAAAGAGAAACTTGCATCAATAGGCCAATGGATCTGCTCAGAAACTGCTATTCACAAATCTCTGGAGCCCTCGGGACCTGTAGACTCCTCAAATATAAAACCCACAAAAGGCCAGATTCATTATCATTGATTGGGTGGCCCCTGCTTGTCAGTGGTGAAATTTCATTCAAAAGTATTAATGTTCATGGGAATTACACGCTGATCATAGATAAAACACAAGTTGGATGAAATAGAAATTCATTTTTCACCCGCCTTTGTGAGTACAAATGAATTTAAGCCAATCCCGGCGGTATTCTGATTGATTTCTGTGTAACAGATACGGGAGTGCCTAGGCAAGCAAGCTAAACAGCTATGTCAGGGTTAGTTACAATGGCATTCATTAAAAGCAGGGAATTCTTTCTTTTTCCTGTTTTCTCATAAAGAAAAAAATAGCACATCAAATTTTGCCCGTGGGTTTCTCTAGTTATTCTCACTGGATTTGACGCAAACCTCAGTAGTGGTAGTGACTGTCACAATTGCACTAGGTTTTACATCAGGCACAAGGTTGTTCATCTTCACTAAATTAAATCCTATAATTTTGAATTGGATAGGAGCTGTACTGCGATTGAAAATCCATAGTCTAGTGCCTGGCACAGAAAATGAAGGGATTCATGTTTGCATCCTTTATTTCTAAATCCTAAGGCACCCCTTACATTTCATCAACGAAAGCAGAATCATTCCAGCAAACTCCAGCAAGCTAAGTACCATATACGCAGGCTTTAAACCAAACCCAGATTATAGAAAACACTGTACTCAGCCCTTACAGCTCTCCAAATCCAACATGCATTCTTGCTCATCCATTGGATACTTGGAAAGGTCCATGTCACAGGCCACTGTTGAGGTAATCCTGTTCCGAGCAATGTGAACACCAGTTAGTTGCATTCAGATAGAGCCTTGTCCTCAGAAATCAAAAGACTATATGGAAAAGTTTGAAACCTTAATACTAATACAGGGAATTATTTTCTAAATCCTTACGGCTATTACTAAGTCTGTGGGAAGGCCAAAGGCGGGGGCAAATTGAAGAAAGGTCAGATGGCTTCTCTAATGTTAGAGGATGCTTCAGCTAATTCTGATGATAAAAACGACTTTTCTGAGTCAAATCTGCTCCCTTCCACTATCCCCAAGATCACTGTCAGTATCTTAAGGGTGACTTTGGACTTAGAGTTTCAAGGTGCATACTCTTTATTCTTCAGAATATTACACAATTAACTTTAAATACTGAGTTCTAGCAAGAACACTCTTCCAAAGTGAGGAAATATTACTTTGTCTGTTTAAAAGATGGGGAAGTTGAGCCTAAATCAGGCTTATAGTTCCCTTAGAAAACACTGAGAATGGGGAACAGAATCTCTGCTTTGTATTCAGCATCTCCTTGCCTGGTGAACAAATAGTTATGAGATGGTTATCGCCCACTAAGGACATTCTGGAAGTGCTCAGTGATTATGCAGTGGGAAATGTGTTGCCAAACATACCTTCCAGGCAGTGTAATCCTTACAAAGCAAAGGGATTTCTGATAGCAGTCACCAGTACTTTCTTCCATTTAAAATTAATAATTATTTTAGGAAATCATCCTAGGCAAACTGAATGATCGCTTTATAGTCTGTTCAAAAATTTAAGAAATGACAGAGGACCCTTGCACTCTTCTCACTCACCTGATGCTGTATAAAATGACTCCATCTGGCTGGAGCCTGATAAGTTTGTTTTCCACAGTCACATCATGGAACCAGGCAGACTTGGCATTTACTATGAAAGTATCTGGCAGCCAGAGCTTGTCCACAAAGCGGCTGTCTAAGCCCAGAGTTTCATTGGTGTGGTTGTAAGATAGACGGTCATCTCGCCAGCTCTGGTGCAAAAATACCGTCATGGTATATTCCTATGACAAGAGAAATCCCAATAAAAAAGTGATACTAAACAAACACACTGATGTCTTGGGACTTGGTCAAAAATCATTGTATTAGCCTAGAACTGTATTAACTGCTTCCAGTGCAATAAGTATTTTTTTACTCAGTCAACCATAGAGCTCCACAAACATTTTAATTTCTGCCATATGCTTCTACCATGGATAAACCCGAGATATCAAAAAGTGATTTGATGTCAGTGTTTTATATATAACATGCTGCAAGGGCTGCATATGTCTTAATGAAGACAATCAGTTTATGTATCTCCACAAATACAGCTCCTAGTTTTGAGGGTTTTATAAAAGAAAACTAAAAAATCAAGTGAAGTTATGCATCTGTAATAAAGGGAAAGGATGGAGGGAAAGTAAAAGTTCCAGTTTTAAAATGAAATCTGTTGTGTTTCAGAAATGCAGTTAATCCATGCCTATGCTTGTTTATGTGACTTGTAAGTTGTTCTACTCCACTGCTTTATTGGAAGGTCTTTGCACAAAAAAAAGAGGAGCATCTCACAAGCAATCGTTCCCTTAGCTTCTTTTTGGAGTATCTGTGGTGAAAAGGAATTTGAACAGAAGTTGGCATTAATGCTTAAAATTAGGCTTTCTATTAGTAAGTGCTGCACAGATCCAACCTTGCTCCCTGTAGTAAGAAATCTCAGTGACTTATACATGGCTAGACTCTTGTAACTGCCAGTGTCTGCCAGAAAAGACTCTGCCTGTGTCTTAAAATATAATGTTTGTTCTTTGCAGCATCTCCTTGCTGTAATTTCTCCACTCCAAACCCGTTGGGGGATCAACTGTCTCTATTTAGTTTGTTTTCTACACTCCCTGTCATTGCAGTACACACATTCACAACTTGGTAGGTTTAACTGATAACATACCATGTTCACTTCTGAGATGTGGTCGATGCTGGCTACTTCAATTGCAAGAGCAACATTAACAGGAGGACCTGAGAAAAAATGGTTGAATGGGGTGATTTACATCATCATAGTACCTATAAAAACATAGATGACCCAAGACTGTTAATTCTTTCATACGGAGTGAATTCATAAAAGTGTTTTTTTCCAAAATAAAATGCACTTTCCAAGTAAAATCTACCTTAAAGCAAGAGATTGAAATCTTTTACAGATTGCACCCTCAATTTCCAACAGAACACCTCAGTTCAGTGATAAAGGACATGAGATATAATCACAAGTACTGAAAATTATGGAATCCTTTCTGGAAACCACATGATCTAGTTTAAGACAGTATGGCTTCAAGCAAATGCAGAAACTATCACCATTTAATGTAATCCAAAATTGCTTCAACTTAGATACCAGTGATTTAAGAACTGTATCAGCAACAAGACTGCATTGCTAGTTCTGTTGTACAGTCTATCTTTTTCCAAAATCAAGCAAATTGTTGATGGTTTTTATTTCCAGTGTCCAAGTAATAGATAATCTTTTAATCATGTAGAGGGTGAAGTTCACATAAACACCAGAGGGTAGAAGGATTGTAAGAAACAAAAGCATCATTATTCTCAAAATCTCACCTCCAATCCCAGGCCTGAAATTACGTGCATACCCTTTCATTAAATCATCCAGGTTGGGTAACCAGGATATTTCGATGTTGGAACCTATGTAATCTCCGATGTCGTTCATAGCTCTAGGTAAAAAGAATAAGTATCTTTTAAAACTTGGCCATGTTTACAAACAGAAGAATAACAGAAAATGGAAGACACTGACTTCTACACCAGAGACCACCTACAGTATAATCAGCTATATTGGTAATTTAGTGGAAAAATACTGTGTATATAGACAGGAAAACCATTTCAGATATTTCTGTTTAAACCAAAACATATTTCAGGCAAGACTATGGCCTCTTTCTGAATGACAAGCACATACTTTTTTAAGGTTTTTCCTTTTCAGAAAATCAGTAGGGAAAAAATATATTTAGAAATGTAAAGAAAACACGAGGGAAACCAAGATACTTTGTACACTGCGTAAAATGCATCTGTGGATGCTGAAATGCAGCTATCTGGGTAGCAGGACACAGCAGCTGTGAGAGCTCGTCGTACCACTATGGAACAGCTGAGATCAAGAAGGCTGGTGTATTGTCAAATGTGAGGGGAAAGCAGTACAAATTACACAGCTGGAATTTGGATTTAACATCTCTGATGCTGTGAAAAGTACCATTGGGCCTCAGAAATAATGAAAAGCGTTGGTAAGAGAAGGTGTGCAAGCACCTGAAAACTGCAAAGAGATGGTCAAAAAGGAGAACTCGCTTAAAGAAAGTGAACAGCTGAAAGCACAGAAGCACCAAAGGGGACATCCCCATGGCCCCGACCCAGCACGGAGCTGCCCGTGGGCCAGACCCAAACCTCAGCTGTGGTGTTGAACTCGGGAGGTGCTGTCCATGCTGCCCAAGCCCTGGTGGTTCTCCCTCTTTCTGAGCCAAAATTGGTGGCTGCCTACGGTCCAGGCGACTCAGGAGCCTCCACAAACCTCGAGAGGGGCCCCTGGCTCTGCAGGGTGAAAAGCTGCCTGTAGTGGTGAGCCCAAAGGATTTGGGCATTGTCCTGGAACCTGAGGTGTGCTCCATGATCCTAGAAATGCAGGGGCAAGAGTCCTGGCTACAGGCCTGGATCTGGGGCCATTCTGGTCCATGCTCTTGAGTGGCAAGTGAGGTATCCGTAGCACTGCAATGTCTCGGTCCACCTTCCTGCAGGTGCCCCAGAGCTTTGGGCATCATGGGGTGGTTCCATCACGCTGGGAGGGCCTCAGCTCACCTGCTTGAGCTGTTCTGTGCTTGCCAGCATCAGGCAGTGTGGGCGTTTGGCCATCTGTCCTCAGGTCGGGTGTGGGGGATGCCAGAATGCACACATCCCTTTGTAGTCGCTCCTGAGACCTGATGAGCCACCAAACAGGCAGTAGGTTTTGTTTGGGAGGTGATGTGTTGCTGTCAGATTTGTGCAGCACGCCACAGTCCCCCTCCCAGAAATAAGGCTCCATTTCTCAGGTGCTAGGCTTCTTTCAGACCCAGCAATGCTCCTTGAGGACATCAGCACAGTTTCTTGTGGCCATTTTCCACCACGTGACAGATGCCAGCGCCTCAACCTTCCCGCTACAAGCAGTTACGTGGATATTCCATAATCTCTCATAAACAAAGGCAAGCTTATATTGTCTTCATAACTGTTTAAACTGAGCTGACAGACTTCATTTCAGGAAGATTTCTGCCTGCTCACACAATTCCTCTTGCCAGCACTGTGATTGACATGACAGGAATAGAGAAATGAAGGACTGTGACGACGTCTACCACAACTATTTGCAAAGAGAAAAATTGCTGGTGGTTTGAGAGGGCCAGTATCTGAATGCAAGTACTACATCAAAACTGTCTGAGCACTGTTTTGGCATCTTCCACCAAGTCCAGCAATAAATACGGCATTTGAGAGATATACATCACCAGCAACAGAAGAGAAACTCATTAAACGTTGATGAAAGGCTGCAGAATAATATACCATAGACATATTCTGCCTTGGTACTTACATAACTTTCTTGGAGTGTTCATGCGACATTGACCCACATAAAGCACATGTTTTTTTCTCTCCAAAATATGCCAGTCTAGGCATTCAGCTCAGCACATGCAGTTACTGCTAGCACAGTAGCAGAGTATCCTACAATAACCAACTGTTCTTCTCACAGGGGACTGAAAGAAAAATCTTTGATTGCCCTGGTCATAAAATTCCTGCCCCACATGTATGGAGTGGATTATAGAAGGAAGGAGTTGTGGGATCACAGTGTATAAATGTATGTTCTGAGCTGCAGAGACACTGAAAACTTGCATTAATGGAGCTGTCAAAGCTTAAGTGACCTTAAAGCACAGGGATGCTGCTCCAAAGTGAAACTGCGTAGTTCAGGGCAAAATGTTAAATTTGGGCCTATATATTAAATTGCATTTATAACGTTTCCTTGCCATGAGCACACTGTTGCATGTTCATCTCAAATATTTCTCAGGTTCCTATACCTCTTCTGAGTAAGGATCTTGGAAAGCGCAGAGCAGTATTTTCAGCTACATCAGTTGGAATAACATAACTGATTTAGACAAGGGCTTTGAAGATTTATAACAGATGTTGACAGATTATTTTTTTTTTCCTTCTTTATTGGGTCTCATCAACTATATAAACACTTCTTTCTATCAAACTGCTGTTTTCTATGTGCTGGTCTTTCAATCATCCGACTGTCAGTATTTACTTAAATGAAACTATAGTTTCATAATTGGCAAGATGCTAAAGGTCTGGCTTTCTTCTGCACTACCATCAAGCACTGCAGTACAGAAATTCTTTCATTTATTTTCATTTACATTCACTACCCTATTTTTGGAAATACTAAGGCTGTCAGTTCATACAGAAATATATTTTTAATTAAGGCCTTGGCAGATTAAAGAGTATGAGACTATGTTTAAAAGTATTTTGTTTCAAAATGTACTTACTTGTAACTAAGTCTCAACCATAAACACATAATGATATTCCTAATCAGTAAAATATCTGAGCTCCTTTTATAGGTAAAGAATGTTACTTTAAGTCTCTTCATAATTAGA